CTGAATTGTCATCATCTCCAATATCTGATTATCCACCATCAAGAATACCTAGACAACCATATGGTAGCTTTAGGAGACAGTATAATAGAAGATCAAGTGGATATTATAGACCACCACATATTAATAGAAACTCTGGATATCATGGACCAACTACTAATAATAATTGATCATTGCTCTAAATTTTTTTTTTGTATCCATTCTTAAAAAATGGGTTTAAAACTTTCTCCATTCATGTTTGCAAAATAAAAATAATTATTGATGATGAACTTTTTGTGGCAATTTTTTTCTCTTACACTTGTTTCTCCTAACTTTTAATTCAAGTAAAGATCATTACCATTGAAAATAAATAATATCTTATTAATGGTTGATGTATATCTGTCTTCAACAAACATGTATTATTAACATTTCCTTCAAAACATTATTCACCACATTGTTGATGAGAATGTTAATGACAGAGGAAGGTGTGGATAAATTTAATACCTAAATAAATAAATCTAAAAAATAATGTTAATATGTGAATCTAAATATCTAAATTCGTTGGATGAGAAACTATAAATATAACATTAATAATTGTAACTTTTTGAAGTTTACAGGTTGATGAAGATTTGTAAAATAAGCAGCATTTGGATGAACAGTTGCTGTATTGTTGAACGATTAAAGGGTATTTGATCTGTTTCCTTCAAATATTAGTTACACCTTTATTTCTTTTGCTGCTGGTCTTTTTTCAGGATCACCAATAATCATCAATATCAAATTTGGTTAACACCGCACATTTCCCGCACTGAATTACAAAAACTTTTAGTATTATTAATTAATACTTCCTCTTGTCCATTCTGCAGTATAAGTTAATTTGTTACTTTTTTTAAATTGCCCAAAAGGTATCCATTCTACAATCAAGTTTGGAAAAGATGATTTCATTTGACACTGTTGAATAAAGTTATCAATTATGTTATTTCCAGATGTCCAAGCAGTGAAAAGACTCTGTAATTGTAAACTAATGCAACTTTCACATAATCTATCAGAGTGTTTTATTGATTTACACTTGTTACATTCTTTTGGTTTGCCTTCTTTATAAATTACATTTATTAATTCAAACTCATAAATAAACTTTTCTTACAAAATTCTTTTCATTTTCAGGATGCTCCTTGTTTTTTTTCGACTAATGAAAAAAATAACCTTTTCTACCTTCTTCACCAGAGTCAACCAATGCAATATTATACATTACAGCATTAATTTTATATACAAATTACTTTCTTTCTGGTGATATTTGTTTAACTTTGACATTGTATAAAAATAAATATAAAATTCGACTTGTGTTTTAATGAATGTGGAGATGTTTTGAGAATAGCTGTTACATTATTTCTTTTGAATGACGTGTTGCAAACAATTCTAACAGGATTAATAGATAAGGATGTAAGTTGAAAAACGAAAATTGCATTATTTAAAGAACAACTTCTTCATCACTAAACTTTAGTGATTGATTTATCATGATTCAACAATAAAAGAATTTCAGCATTCTTTGAAGATTTAAAATAGAAAGAAAAATTAAAACTTACAAAACCTGACTTATGTGCTATGTAAAGGTCCAAGTACCAATATTGATCAACATACAGCATGTTGCTTCAAACTCAGACATTAAAGTCAGCTCAAGCACATTATTAATATTATTTGCATATTACTATTACGCGCAATTAACTTCAAAGACAAAAATTCGAATTTGACATAACTAATATATGTATGTAAAGACAATTTGATTTTATGAAATAATTTGTAAAAAAGAAGAAGATTTTATTTTGAAAGAAAATACACAGAAAAAAAAATAAGTAGTAGTTTAATTAATTAAAATTTCTAATTCAAATTATAATATTTGTAAACTTCTCATGATTATTATTATTCTTGCATCATTGTAATATACATACAATGATATAATAATTCTTTATTCATCCCTGGGATACACATTTTATCATTACCATTATTGCTGCTTATATCAAGCGTTTTACTTATGTCAAGTGTTTTTAATTATGTCAAGTGGTTTTACTTATGTCAAGGGCTTTACTTTAGTCAAATTGTCAAAAATGGCCTTATTGAGAAATTATCTTCAGCCGATACTTTAGTTATGTCAATGACTAAAGTCAAAGATTCATCATACATCATTGGTGGCAGTGAATAAAATGGATTGATACACACCTTCTTTAAAGTTAAAAGTTTTTATCAAAAAATCAACAACTTGTTTAGTACTTGAAATTATTATTGCCACTTTACACCGCCCTTGAAACTCGGCAACAAAACTCCATATAGAATTGGGTTTATTCTACATATAGAAGAAACTTCCAAATAAAGAAAAAGGAGAATTTTAAAAGAATCATCAAAGCCTTTGCCCACTCTGAATGGTTTCGAGGGGGGGTTCAATCAGCTTTAGGATAATTAATAAATGTGACCTAAAAATAAAAATATGAATGTCAAATTTTTTTGTTGTTGTTTCCTAAAGAATTGTCAAAGTATATAATCCTCTTTATACAACTTAATGTCATATTGACATTGGAATTAAAATTACACATAAAAATACATGTAAAAACAATTCATATCAAAGGAATGGTAGTTAATACAAGTAAAAAAAGTTAAAAATTATATGATACAATAGACCACTAATAACAAAAAAATGGAAAAAATATGATAAAAATGACAAAACAACAATTACATTAGTAGTAAAAAAAAAAAAAAAAATGCAATTAAAACTTTTATAATAATAATAGCAAGTCATATCATTTCTCAAATATTAAATTTAACATTTCTAACACAAGATCAAAGCCAGAAGATATTCCAACACTACTGCTTACTACTAATAATGCTGGAATAGATTCTAGAGAGATGTTGTTGCCATTTCTAATGCCACCATCAATCACTACTAATAATGATGTAGGAACAATGATATTGGTAATTGAAAGATTACCTGGCCCAAAATATTGTATCATTGATTTTGTCAAGAGAAAAAGTTCATCAAAAAAAAAAAAATCAATCAATTAATACTAATGATGATACTTGTGCTTCAAAAGTAATTGAAAGACATTTGATCAGAAATAATCTTACTGGAAATATTATAAATTCATACAAAAAAAATTGACATTTTGAAACTATTGACCATGTAAATATTGTTAAGGTAATTGATGAATATTTGTCAAATAAAATGTAATAGTGATTATTCAAAATATCCGCAATGGGGACCCGGATTATTATAATCGAGGTAATATCCAGGCTATTAGCATTAGTAAATTTTAGAAATTTTAAGCATGCATGTAACATTTTTTCTCCTTTGCCCATTTTTAGCATATGTCAAAAAATTAAAAGCTCTCTACCCATATAAAACATGCAACCATTGAAAAAACCATCCAATATATTTCTATCTAAAGAACTAAAGAAATCATATTAATATAGTTGTTGATTTTTAATAAACTCATCTTAAAATAAAACAAATATTTTTAAATTTATTAGAAAATTTACTTAAAATGGAAAAGGACACAAACTTAATTCTAATTTCATATGACATAAAAGTTGCTTTACCTGATTTAGATATGACTTATAATAATAATAATTTTATACCCAAATAGTTGCACCCACTTATTTAAAAAAGTCTTCTGCAACTTTATCAAAATTGGATGTTTACCCAAATTATAATAATCCGGGGTTTTTTGAAGGAAAAAAAAAAAAAAATTTAACACAATATTGTATAATAATTATTAGATTAAACAACTGTCGATAGGGTATTTGCTTTAGTAAGCAAGCAAAGATTTAGCACTGATGTGATTGACTAATGAGTGTCATCGTAAAAGTAAGGTTGTTAAACAAGCTGTTTAAGTTGTTTTGTAAGCGAGCTCGCAGTCAGCCAACAATTGTGAACGACTGGAATAAATTGGTCATAAGTAAATAAAAAAGGAATTTTATAGAAGCCTTTGAGCTTTGTGAAAGGGCCATATCGATTTATTCTGTACCGTTAAGTATGCTTACAGATTCTCCAAAGTGTTTTAAGCAAAGAAAGAGGCGGTAAGCATAAACTTATTAGTTGACAAGCACAAGAGTAGCCCAAAAGTTAAGCCAACATCTTCCAGACTTGTCAAATAATCGACGTTGACCGAAAGTATGCCATGCAATATGAAATAACAGGATTTTAGATTGGAGGTTTTTTTTCTCTGGATTTTATACTAATCGAATCAAACCGGATTTTGAATATTATATTTTAAAAATAAAGCGTACTTATAACCAGAATAAGGCAACTACAGTTTCAACAAACCTAAATTATGTACGGGATAGGTGCTGAATGAATATATTAATATACGATATATTTTTGGAAACATGTTTTCCGTATGGCTTCCATACATGAAAAAATGCATTTTAAAAAACACACACTTTGGGCCATTTCCGTATGTATATTCCGTATATCCAGTACCTACTACTACTACTACTACTAATATAGTTTTTTATGGGATGGAGCACTGGAAAATTGCATTTAAAATCGCGTTTCAACAAATTTAAAATAATGATTTTCATTGGATTACTTTATAATCGAACTGGATAGAATCATAGTAATAGGTTAATTTATTTATGTCGGATAGTATATATCAGATTCAAAATCAAATCGTGAACATTAGACTAATTTATATATACATAATATTAGGTAGTATATATTGGTACAAACTAAATCAAATCACGTTTCATATCTGATTCGCCCAGAGTCTTGTTCTATTATTCTCAATAACTTTATTAATCAATCTCTCTCTTATAATAATAATAATAATAAAGTAATTTCACAAACAAAATCTTATATTTAAATTAAGAAATTTGAAGTATGCAAAAGTAGATTAAATTTGTTAATGTGAGCCTTAGATAATCATTACTATTTTTTAAAGCAGGTGATTTTTTAAAGTAGTTTTTCTTTTTCTTTACTTATGGCTTGATTTTATATTCTCTGGTGCTGGCACAAGCAAGCTTCTTTATAGAATAAATTTCCTCGGCATGGTTTATCTGGAACTCGGAGAAATCCTTTTGTTGCAACCAACTAATTTTACATAGACCACTAATATCAAGCAAAACCTTTTTAACATCATGGAATTCAAGTTAATTGATCGATTTTAACAATGTCATAACGTCTCTCAAATTTGCAAGTTCAAAAATCAACCATTACCATTATCGGGAGATCGATCGATCATGAATTTCTAAATTAATGATCTACAATATTTTATATACTGTATAGTAGAAAACATGAAGGCGATGTAAAAACGAACCTTTGAATTTGAGAAGAATGTTTTTAATATGTATACTTTTCTCACTAAAACTTGGTTCTGGGAACAAACTGCACAACAACTTTTGGAGCTTCAGCTGTGGGATTAGCTTGGCTTCTTGGTAGTCTTTAGGAGTAGAACAGAGTTCCCTTTTCTGGCTCAGTTCTTTTAAAGCAAGCAACTAATCAAGTTTGGTTAATTAATTTACATATTTAGTGACCAGATCGAAATAAGTCAACTAAAAATCAAAAGTTCTTCTTGAAGATATAAAATTTTATACACTTGTGGAAATTTGGTAGTAAGTAAAAGCGTGATATTTAACCTTATCTTCTTGCATTGTGATACTGATATTGTGGTTCAAAGGTTCAGGAGATTTAGATAATTACCAGGGCTGAGTGCGTAATCATAATGAGACAAGATAGTCAGTCATAATTTAGTCAAGAGACTTGTTGCTAAATTAGGATTTACTCCCTTTACACCAGCAACCCTGATTAGTGAACCTTGAATAGCGGAGAGGGAGGGTCAGTTAAATGGGAAGACAATGCTTTTGAAGAAATTCCAAGAAACTACATCCACGATAATACATACGATTTAGTATTTTTAGTTGGTACATTATATATGCAATTAATGATAGATTGTGTGTGTTGTGTTGTAAAAGAGATCTAATCCTACTACTGGAATGAATAAACTTGATGTTGTGATTCTGGGAAGACCTTCAATATTTTGACAATACTAGTTTGGGGAGAATTTTAAGTCGCAAAAATACATCTTAATATTATGATAAAAAATATATATTTGCCCATTTATGAGAAATGATTTCAAGGATGTCATTTGATCAAGTATGCTAACGAGAAATTAATATAAAAAAATAAACCGATTACATTTAGCAATTACCATCACTCGTATCACCAAAACATTTGTTCACTTTATATGTCCGTGTCACTCCAAATAAAGTTTTAATAAAAATCAACAACTTTTTACCACACAATAAGTAATAACTAATGGATTGGATTGAAGAGGAAGAGAAATAAATAACACTGATTTCTACTTGTAAAGAGCGCGATTTAAATAATAATAATAACTATTGTTGTTGTTATTATTTCGCCGGGCTTTTTAATAAAGCATGGAATTTTAATTATGAATTAGCCATTGGCCTTTTTTTATATTTATAATTTACCATATATTGTCATTAAAGAAATAGCTTCAGATAAAAAAATTTAGATTACAATTATTAGGGCCAGAAGTTCTATATATCAACGGATTTTTTTTTGGAATTCAAATGTTTTAATAATTTCATTTTATCTCATGTTACACGAACGATAAAAATTATGACAAATAAAAAAAAATTTAGTATATATATATGGACAAGGTTTACAAAAAATAATTGCTGTATCACGAAATATCTAAATTTGCCAACGCCACAATGGAACCATGTAGTTAGGGGGTTGAAATTCAGATTTTATTTCCATTCCTTCTGCTGTTAGGTCTAGCTTATTGAGTGATTCAACAATAAAACCATACGGTTGAATCCAACTTGCTTGAATTTCCAACTTCTGTACAAGGGAGGCAGTATGGTTTTTCATATTTTAATTTTATGTAATTTGGAGAAATGATTTTTTTAATACTAATTACACCTTATGTTTTTCAAAATAATTAATAAAGAAAAGATTACTTGTGAAATTTACCAGAAAGAAAGAAAGAAACATCGTGATCATTAAAACAAAGGGCATTAACACAAAACCATAAAAAAAAAAAAAATCGAGAAACAATCTTTTTCATTAACCATAGTTGAATATGTAAATTATTCCTCAACATCCTCCGTTGGTAATATCTTTGAATATTCATCTTTTAACAAACAGGCAAATGTTGTTGTAAAGGCATTCTTGACGTTTGAGATCTAGGTGTCAATATTTGAAAATGATAAGAATTAATATCTTTTATGACAGTAGAGATTTCTGGATTTTCTAGTTTTAAATAGCGTAAATTCATGGAAGGGTCCATTTACAATCACTTGAGCTTTTGCCACACCAGGATTAGAAATTTTCTTTCATAGATTGAGTCTTATTCAATACAGCAATACTAGGCACTGCGCAAAAGCCAATATGGTAAATACAATTATTTCTGACGATCATTTTTTGATTTTTTTTAACCCCCGTGATTTCCTTGTGGCGTCGTTGCAGCATACTCATATATTTTTCTCACATTTTTTCTTTTTAAAAAAAAGTTCTTATTTATTATTATTATTATTATTATTATTATTAATATTATTATAATAATTATAATTATTCTTTAAATTACAAAAGTTTAAATTTAAAGGATTATTATATATTACTATATATTACATTAAAAATTGCATGCACTATGGACAAAACCAACGTACTCACAATAGTAAGTGGAGAGAATTAAAGACTTCATTTTTTATTATAAAAAAATTTTTCAATCATTTAAATACCGCTTGTCATAAATATTTAATTTATTGCCTTTCCTCCCTAAAACAATAATTTATAATGAACGAATTTAAAGACAAACGTTGAATATGTTGGCTATCGTAAATTAAGTTTCACGTGCAGTACTGAAGAATTGCAAACCTTCATCACTTCAGCTGCTCCATTAATTCCGTTTTCCTCATTACCATTAAGAACCGAAAAAGATTTAAGGGATGCTGTTATCAATAATTATATATCCCTAATTGATAGTGGCATCCCTTGTTTATGGAGATATTCCGAGGGAACAAACCTCGAACACATCTACAACCACGGTGAGATAACTCGTGAGCTATGGGTTTTCTGGTTGGGTTCTGATGTTCCTGCTGTTTTGGCAGATTTATACAAAAAAGAAGGTAAAAAAAAATTTTTTTTCATGATTTTTGTTCAATTTTACTTGATTTTATTTGTCAATAATATTCACGCTAATATTTTTGTACGCTTATCCATAATTTTTTTTTTCATTATATTTTATAGATTTTGTTCATCATTGTGATGGTACAATTTCATTTGATAATTACGATCGGGAATTGGAGGCATATGGATTATTTGTATCGGCGATGAAGAATATAACAAACCGGTAATTGACACACACACATATATATATTGATCTTCGTAATGTTGGTTTATTATAATAATAATAATTTTTTTGATATACAGGTCTTTAATTAAGATGGGTGCTCTCCCAGTAGGCGAATGGTGCACATTTCCTACAAAAACACAAGATTTATATGACAGGCATGATAAAAATCTCTGTTAAATGTTATTATTGTTGTTGTTATTATCATTATTATTATTATTAGTAATAACGAAATTATTTTATGAAAATAAATAGTGTATTGTCATGTAAATATGATATTTGTCTTTCTTCCTCCAATTTGATAATACAGCCAACAGTCAAATATACTAGTATGCGCCCAATTAGAAGATCAGATCTTGAATTAGACGAGATTTCTATATTATTAGCACCATCAGGAATCACAGCATCACTATTACCAATAAAAAAATATAAAGAGGAAGATGCTAATGCCATCACAGATGATTTTGAAAGACTTTTTTCAATAAAATTATCAACATTAGATTGTACCGATTTACCACAAATAATGGATGTAAAGATAACTCATGACAACATAATCAAAGAATTTCCATACCCAACGCAATGTATTTACGTAATATCTGAGTTAAATATGGGTTATCAACGTGGCATCTCCGATGTTGGTACGGCTCCACAATTCTGGAATAATAAAAAAACTGAATTATATAATACTGATTGGTGGAATTACAAAGATCCTACACGTGAAGCTCAAAAGACATTATTACAGAGAAATCATATTGATCACAATGGTCAATCGCCATCAGGTGTAGAAACTTCAATGACTCCGAATACTCCCGGTCTTGCTAATAATGCTACTTCAAATGTCAACTCACCCGGTCACAACAATTTATCATCACCATCATCGTCACGAACTAAAAAACGTTCATCAGGAGAAACAAAAGCATCATATCCATCACCGCCTGATGTTTTAGCAACTACTTCTTCTTCTTCTTCTTCTTCTTCGGCTGATCAGTTGCAAGCATCTTCATCATCATCAAATGATTTATTACCGTTAAATGATGAATATGGAATGATGGATGAAGTTTTTGGTTACGATGTTGATATAATTGAACAAGAGATTACTGAAGATGACTTTGAAATGTTCGATACTATGAATGAGGTTAGTTAGTATTTAGATAAATTTTATATTATTAAAAACTTTTTTTTGTTCTTTATTTCAACATATTCTAATAATACTATCAACAACAGCCCAAAAAAATCACTACACAACCAGTAAATACCACACATAATCTTAGTAATCTAAAAACAACAACAACGACAGCAGCAAGCACTACTATCACTGCTGCTGCTACTGCCACTGCCACTGCCAAAACAGCTGCTACTATTTCCATCACCACTGTTACTACTGCTGCATCTACTGAACTATCAAATAATATGGTAATTGAAACCCCACAAATACCAAAAGAAAAATTGATTCATCAAAAAATATTAAAAGACTTGGAGTTTGTTACAGAAAGAAACCCGTTAGTTCCTGACGAGTGGGCACCATTGAAATTTAATAATCCTGATAATCACAAATTTCAACCAGGTGGAAGTTATTGGACAGTTGTCAATGATAAGAAAAGAAAAAGAAGTTTTACATATACACCTGATTACAAGCCTCAACATTTACAAGCTAAAAAACCTCGTCTAGAAAAAGGTATCGCTGCTCTAACAATCAAACCGCAAGATAAGACTACTGTTGTCGATGATGAAAATGATGATGAAAATGACGAAGATGATGATATAGAAATTGCTAATGACAATTTGGCTAGTTCTGATGAAAGTAGTAGTGGTGATTATGATTCAGACGATTATAGTACTGATTCATCAATCGATTTCAATGATCGTGCAGAAACCAATCTACAAGACTGCGATAGAAGCAGTCGAAATTTGGGATTTGTTAATTCAGCCAGATTCATGTCAGTTATAGCTACGCTTAGTCTTTTTGGTGCACCCAAGAAAGCTCATGTAATTAATAATAATAATAGTAATGACGAAACGTTGAGTTATGATAAAGCATTGGCATTAGACTCCCTTCGTGATCAAGTTGCATTAGGTTCTTATCCTTTTGGTGTTGGACTTAAAGGCGAAGGTGAAAGTATATCAGAACTTGTAGATTCAAAACAACGTTTGATGCAGGCACTTAAAGGAGGTAAGAGAGAGAAGTTTATAGCTTAAGATTATATTTACAATATGTAATATAAATAAATATCTTTTTATTTATTTTTATATATTATTACTATTTTAGAGTTGCCAGTTGCTTCTGCTCTTCCTTGTGAAATTGACGATGTTACGAATTCATTTAAAGAAGTAGTCAATGATGTTTGTAAAAAATTACCCAAATCAGAAACACTTAAAGAAATCACAGTTAAAGGACCTCTTACACTTAATGCATATTGTGACTTAATTGGTTAGTTCTTTTGATAAAAAAAAAGAGAATATATAGGGATATATATATATATGTATAATTATCAATATTTATTTATTTATTTGTATCATTTATTTTCCTTTTCCTCTGTTTTATTTGTTTTCAAAAAACTCAATTATTACTTTAATATAAATGTAAATAGGAACAGAATATTTGAACAAAGGTGAAGGTGAAGTCCCTTTATCTTTTCTTGAAGAACTCCCAACTCCTGATATTACAGTTGCAGCTACTGAAGGTTCAAATGAATATTTGATTGATTGTTCACCGGAAATTATTCAATACTGGGACAAGCATAATATTATCCCGTATGATGGAAAGAAAAATATCAGATATTATGTTCTTTATCCGGACAATGAGCATCTACGTGATTATGTTAAATCATTTTTTGATAGATTAAGTATTCATTATGAGGTTTGTAATTTTTATTATAAAAAATGATGATAACCACGATAATTATAATAATCACAATAAAAATAATTTTGATAATTATATTAATTGATTGTAAATTTTAGATGTGTTCCTTGGGTTCACACAAATCTGCCGAGATGAACGGTACCTTTCATGGACTTATTCCTATTTTTCTTAATCGTAAGTATTATAGCAAACTAGTTGGTTGATAAATTAAATAAGTTATCATTTTACTAATTATTTATATTTTAATTAGAACCGGTTCTTGGCGAATCTGAACTCAATCGAAGAATTAAAAGTTATGAAGATCGTTTTTCAATATTTGGTATATATTTATTATATTTTTTCATCCAAGAAAATTATTTAATAAATCATTGTTAAAATAAACGATTGAAATTAATAAATATTTCTTTATTAGGCAAAAAATATCTGACAAAAATGATTGATCCATATCAAAACGAACATATTGTCATCTATATTGTGAACCCATTCAACCATTCATCAGCAAATTATGATGTTATGTATAGTTTTGTAAGACTTATTATGGAATTCAAAAAAGAACTGGGGAGTCGGTTGAACCAAAAAATCATCGATAAGATTATACCTCAGATAGTACCAGCTGAACACATTATCACTTATGGCGAGACTATTTTCAATACTGCACACGATAAACAACTTCTTCAGCAATTAGCATTCAGTGTTTATACCAGATCAAAGGTAAAAAATAACGAGTATAAAGTATCGTAAATGAAATAAATAAATTAATAATTATTTTATTTTTTCAAAAATAGAATTATAAAGTGCCATTTGTATTACCCAAACCTGACGTTATCGATGTCAAATTTCAATCATATAAAGAAGTAATGCAACAAAAATTAATAAATAAACAAACGAGTCCGCTAAAATATGATACAGTATTACATATGTCGTATGGTTACAGCATTGATCAAAAAATTATTTTTGTTGTATGGATTGACACGGAAGGAAAGAATTACGGAAGCACATCAATAACAACACATTTTGATAAAGAACGACAAACGATCGATACAGAGTTCTCACTCAAAGAGGCGTGGAAACGTACACATGAGTTCTGGGGGAAATCTGGTAAACATAGACGTATCATTATAACGAAAGCAGGTGAAATGAGTAAAGAAGAAGTTAATAGTATGTATATTCATTCATTAATCCATTCGCTTTTATTCAATCATTCATTTATTTGAAATATAATATAAATTTTTTAATAATAATAATATTATTATTTTATTAATAATTAGTTTGGATAAATTTGACTGAAGGAAAATATGCAATATTTTGCATGAATATCGAATCAAAACTAAAATTCTGTCCTCAGACCTCAAAAGATGATTATAGAAAAGTATGTGGCTTAACTTTAAAACATCCAATACCACTTTATGATTTTAAACCACTGGCAAGTGGTTATATATTAGAAGTAAATCGTAATGAATGTTTATCAAATGGTGTTCAGGTAATATTAATAAACTTGAAAGATTTACACTTAATCAGGTTAATTAAATTAATATATTTATTTGTAGGTCGATCTGGTGTATAATCCTTCTGATGCTGGTAACGATAACGAGACTTTATGGGAATGTGTTCAACATTTCCATCAATTAGTATATATGGAAGTTTCACCGAAAAAAACTACTCTGCCATTTCATATACTGACGATAGAAAGGTTGATTAGAACTTTTGTTGGTGTTTCTTTATAATCATTGTCGATTACAAAGGTGTTGATAGATTTAGATGGATTAGATTAATCCGAAAAAAATATTTAAAATTAATATCTTTATCACCTTTTTTGTAATATATATATATATATATGTATATATGTATATGTATATATATATATATATCTTTAATATATGTATATATCTTTCTTTTATATATATATATGTATATATGTATATATGTTTATTTATTTATATGTAACAAAACCAGACAAAGTGAACATTATGACACAGAGAAATTTCAGGGGATCAATTTAGTCAAATCACAATTGTACTACAAATATAATGTGATTATGATGATATATTGATGTCCTTCCATTTTTATTTTATTTCTATTAATTATTCAGTATTCTTTCTACATAATAAGTATTAATTGATTACATTATTCGAAACAAAAATTCATTAATGTTTATGCATCCAAAGCTACTATTAAAAAATTAAACACTATTTTTTTTGCTTACAATAAATAAATCTTTTTTCCTTGTTATATCATAAGTAGATTTACTTGATTTGCACTAGAAATGACACAATCAATCCTAGTTGATATAAAGGTCAATCGGTTGATAATAGATAGTTATGGTATACTCATAATCCCACCCTGTGTTTGATTAACATAAGAGTTATTACGAAAACATCATCAACAATTCATATAAAAAAAAGTCGAGCCACGAGCATCTTTACAATAATATTTAATAAAAATGCTCAAATGAATTTTCTTCTTTGGGGTTCGTTTCATTATGAAATGCGTTACTATTATACATAAAAATCAGCCAATAATTGTTGGCAGAGATATAAAAGTATTTGAAAATTCTATCACCAACATTATGTCATTGTTACTCAAAAAATGAATAAAATTTTAATTTTGGAAGTATACAAATAATAATAATCAATTACATGAAGGAGGGTGAAATTTTGGAAATCACAACTATTACCATCAGCTGGAGATTCAATACATTCAGAATTCTCAAGTTGTTCCTGTTGTAGTATTTCTCCAAGTATACTTGCAAATAATGTTTGAAATTCGAAAAAGTCATGATGCATTTTCTCGTAATCTTCAATCTAATCACTTCACATCAAATAATAAATGATGAACAAATAGGAAAAATTTTAATAGAATTAATTAAATTATCACAGAATGATTGCAAACAATGTTTGTTAATGAAGACTAACGTCGGGATCAATGGGAAGAAGATAAAAGGCAGCGATGGTTAGAAACAATATCTAATAGTTTACCATGCAGAGAAAATTATGTATTTTTTCAATTGATGTATAATTAATTGAAACAAAAAATCTTGTGTTTGGGCAAATTAATGAGAAACGTGGGTAACTATGTGCATTGGTGTAGAAAAGGCAGCATGGTTTTTGAATATATTCATATTAATATTAATGAAATCTTTCAAAAGTGGAAAGGGATCTTCTTGTATTTAATTGGTAGCATTAAATTTAATATATAATTGCGGTCTAAATTCATGAATTACGGCAATTTCATATATCAAAGACGCGTGATTGAAATTCACATGCGCGAGGCCAATCAGAATTTTGTATGCAAACATCCATTCCAAAAATTCTAATTATAAAATTTCACAATTTGATTTTGATTCATAACAGCTGACCGGGTCATTGAATGACCACGGTAATTAGGCCATTTCGTTTAAATCGACCAATAAAAATTCATAATTGAAAAAAAAGTAATACTTTTGTGGGAAACTTTAATTTTTGAGGATGAATTCAAACAGAATAAGTTTGAAAGGTGTTTACATTTGCTGTATGCAAAAGCTTAGAGATCCAGCCATTGCACAAATAACATCTGGATTAATGATACCTGACCAGTGTTGTGACCAGAAACTCTTTTGGCTTCCCGAAACGTTTCGGAAAATGAACTTACACTAAGCAGAAAACTAAACCTAAACCTAAACATAAACATAAACTACTAACCTAAACTAGTTTCGGGTGGTTTCTGTTAGTTTCTGTTTCTGGTTTTCCCTAAACTCAGAGTTTCGGGTCACAACACTGTACCTGACGAAATGATCGACATTTAGTCAACTGACGAAATGTAATTTACCGCGAAGAGCATATTGACGAAAAGGAAAAAGAGGGAAAAGTTGACGAAAAGAAAAAATTGGCAAGAGAGAAAAATATAACCATTTTCATAAAGAAATTTTTGTAATAATCTGCAATAATAATTTTTATTTAAAATTTAAAATATAAAGAGAAAATTTAATAAATTTTTTATTTTTTTACTCTTTTGTCCGAGTCAAATTTGGACGAGCTACGTAAATTATGTTTCTTCTAGTTTGTATTTTTTCTAACTAATTTTTGAGAATTATTATCATCATCTTCATCTTCATTTGTATTATTTCCAAATATCATAACATTCTCGTTCTAAATAATTATTTCCATCAGTTTCATTAACTTCGCAATGATCATGAAAATAACTATTTTCTGAATTATGTTCACTTTCAAATTCATCTTCTTCAACAAAGGTATCTTTTACTAAATCTCTTGGATCATAATTATTATCAGAAAATTCGTAAATTGATTAGTTTCAACTGAAGATTCAGCATTACTATCACAAAATACTTCATTATTTAAATCCATGATTTCACATACACTGCCCTCCAAAAAGTATTTGTACGATGTTTTTTGATAATTACGCAAAATGCCACATAACGAAAGTACATAAAATTTATGTCATTTTATGGCTTGGTTCTGACGACTCTACATATAAAATCTCATTTTCCTATCATTCTTTTATGATTTTTAATTAAAAAAAAACGAACACCAAATAAATCACGAGGCTCATTTTTGTGATTTTCCAATAATTTTATTTTTCTCGAAATTTTATATCATAAAATTTAATAAAAATTTAACAGTTTGTAGTTTAGGTTCTCATAAATAAGTGACTAAAACTTCATGTTCTTGTCACGTGTAAAAGTTTTGTTATTCAAATAAACCGAGTACCAATAAAATTGATTAGATCAAAAAAAATTGTGAAAATTTTTTTTGATTTTTAAAAATGGCAAAAAAGAAAAATTCAGAATTAACTGAAGTCGAGCGAGGAAAAATTTTAGGCCTAAGAATAATGGTTTTGGAATTGAGAAACTATTTCGTCAAATCACTAAAAAATGACGAAAGACTAAACCCTTGACGAAAGTCAAAACCTTTGATGAAAGTCAAAACCCTTGACAAAAGTCAAAACCCTTGACAAAAGTCAAAACCCTTGACGAAAATCAAAATTATTGAAGTCATTGGCGAAACAAAAAATTAAAAGTAAAAACCATATCTAATTTTTATTAAAATATATTTTTTTATATTATCAAACAATTATTTAAATTTCTGTCTTTTATTTCTTACAATTTCATTATCAACATTTTTTCTACGTAAATTATGTTGTTTTAACATAAGCTTTGACTTTTCTTTCTTTTTTGATACATTGCTTAAATTGCAATTATCATTATTTATGTTAACATTATCTTCAGTCTCCACATCATTATTCCCATCTTCTAAATTACAATCTTCACTTTCTAAGTAATGATTGACTCTGTTTTCAAAATTGTCATTATTTTCAATCTGTAAACTTCTACTTCCGCTTATAAACACATCTTCCTGGCATGGGTTTTCAAAACAAAGGTTGTCATCTCCAAATTCAGTACTATGATTCTCAGTATCTAATATATTATTATTTTCATTTTCTAAGTCATGATCCAAAATTCTTGAAACTAAATTATTTGGGTTAAAATTTAAATCATTATTTTGAGTTTCAATATCATAAACTTCATCAATTTCATTACTATTATTATCATTTTTATCAGCAAACACTGTATCATCTAATATCATAATATCATTAACCAATAGCAAGTCTTCTTCATAATTACATTCCAATTCATCTTCATCTTCATTTTCTTCTACATCCTCTACATCTTCCACATCTGAATCATCATCACTTGAATTGATAATCAATTGTTTAAGTTCATTATCTGAAAGTAAATGATCAAAGTTTTGAACTTCTTTTTTTGTATTTGAAAGATAATAACTGAGAATTTTGGATATATCTTCAAGTTTTTCTAAATTCAAATTTTGTTGTTTATTGCCATATATCCAATTTAACTTAGAAAAAATTCTTTTGCACCCCACACTGTGAGGGGTTACTGAAAAAAGTTTAATTGCCAAATCTTGAAGGTGATTATGAACATCTTCAGATGTCATCCACCAAGTTAATGGCAAATCATTTTCCTCATTATATGATGCATCAAATGGATAATTGCCAATTTTGTAATGTCTAAGTTGAGATATCAACTCATCACATGATGTCTTGGATTTTCCCATATTTTGATATAATCTTGCTGCAGTTTCTGTAATTCTTCTAAAATTACCACTTCTTATACCTTTACCTAATCAAATATTAAATCAATCATTATAATAATAATTTTATTTTTTTATAATTCACTATATTAATTTTCAATTGATTAATTACCTTTATATGCTGGATGTAGGAAAAAACACAACAAAAATTCATCATACTCAAAATCTTGCCATCTTTTATTATACTTGTAAATACAATAGTCTCGGAATGATTTGTTATATTCTTTTGGAATTGAATTTATAGCTACTGCCAACTTAACTAAGTTGAAATAGCAATCAGCTAAATTACAACCATCTGATTCTAATTCTACAATTGAATTTTTTATTTGTTTTAATAAATGAGACAAATCTTCTAAATTGTCAAAAAAAGTTCCTTGTTTAAGAATATTCTTCACTTCATTTGTAACCAAATCATCATTTTCTCTCAAAATCTATTTATAATTTAAATAAATATTAAAAATAAAGTAAATAAAATAAATAAATAAAAAATTGTAAAAATAACTTACTAAATCAAAGCATGGTTTGAGTCTTATGATAGATGCCACTGTATCATAAACTGATGTCCAACGTGTCTCACAATATTTCTTCAAACCACCACCAATAATGTTATTTTTATTGAT